CAGTGGCTCCCACTGGCCAAGCCTACATGAAAGCCAAAGGGCCGGGAGCCTGGTAAATGTATTTCCTTGGAAACACAGCAGGTCAGAGCAGAGCAGAGCAGAGATCTGAGAGCTCTTGGAAAAATGACTGGCACATGCAGAAAATGGCCTTTCAGGTTAGTGGGACAAGGATGAATTACTCCCTTGGTGATGTTGGGACAACTGGCTCTTCATTTCAGAACAAAAAGTGAGAACTTCCCCTTACAATATGCACATAAGCTCTTCTTCCCTGTTGGCTCTTCCCCAGGCTACACGAGCTGCCCTTCCTCCCGTAAGCCTTATCAAAGCGCCTGCCACACTGCCTTGGACTTGTTACTCAGCAGTGAGGGCCTTGCGGGCAAGGACAGCCTCTCACTTGTCTTCTCAGTCTCGTGCCTACCACCGTGGCGGGCACAAGAGTTGACACTGAAATATTTATTGAGTGCATTGATACCTAATTTTCTTTTCAATCTGACCAGTATTGGTTGAACACCTGCTGTGTGTTTAGCACAGTGGAGGGTACGAAAACACGTGACCTAAACCGTCTCTGTGCCTCCAGAGCTCACTGTGTCGTGGGGAGGGCAAGATGTGTACACAAGGATGTCTCAGGCAGTGAGGTTCCGAGGAGGTCTTAGGATTTTCCCGATGAGTGCATTTGCTGCCTGAAATAGAAGCCAAGACAGATGGGAACATGTAGCAGATGGGCAGCAAGCAGAGAGGCGGTAGTCCTGGATGGTGTCCCAGGCTCAGCCAGTTAGCCACGGTATGACCCGGTCACCTCATTCCCCCAGTGAGCCCCACGTCCCCATCTGCAAAATGGAGAGGCTGGACTTAGGGCAGTGGTGCTCAGCTCCGGCTGCCCACTGGACTCAGAGATCGATGGTGACGTCACTGGTCTGCGGCAGGGGCTAGACACGGATATTTTTCAAAATCTTCCCTGGTGATTTTTTTTAAAATCAATTTTATAAAGGTGTAAGTTAGTATCATACACTTCACCAATTTAAATTGTACAGTTCGATGGTTTATAGCATTTCCACAAAGTTGTACAGCCATCACTACAATCTAATTTTAGAACCTTTCCGCCGCCCCTAAAGAAACCCTGTGTCATTAGCAGTCCCTTGCTGTTTCCCCGCATCCTCCCCAGGCCCAGGCAATCACGAATCTACTTTCTGTCTCTCTGGTCTTGACTATTCTGAACATTTCATATAGATGGAATCATGCAACATGTGGCCTTTTGTGTCTGGCTTCTTTCACTCAGCATGATGCTTCTCACAGTTCCTTTAAGTCCTAGCAGGGATTAATATTTCGTCGCAACTCATGCCTGAATAATATGTCACTGTATGGCTATACCACATTTTATTTATCCATTCATCAGTTGGTGGACATTTAGGTGGTTTCTCCCTTTTGGCCGTTATGATTAATGCTGCTACGAATATTCATGGGCAGGTTTTTGTGTGGACATGTTTTCATTTCTCTTGGGTATATCCCTAGGAGTGGAATTGCTGGGTCCTATGGTAACTCTGTATTTAACCTTTTTGAGGAACTGCCAGGTGTTTTCCCAAAGCAACTGTACCATTTTGCATTCCCACCAGCAGTATGTGGGAGTTCCCCTGGTGATTTTAATATTCGTCTGGGGTATAAAACCACCAAATGGAGGGTCTCCATTTCTATAATTCTGTGATTTTCTATCCAGGATTATATCCCCAGAGCTGCCCTCAGAAGCCCGTGTCACCCAGAACTTGGCTGAGCTGTAGAGTGTATGGTACCGTTGGCTTCTGAGAGCACCCTCATCATTCCTGGCCTTATTTTTGAGAGAAAGCCCCATGAATTCTGTGTTCCAGCTCAAGACCCTCCCCAATTCCTGCCCTGCCCTGGTCACAGTTCTGGCAGTGGATTCTGGAGGATTATTCTGAATAATTATACCATTATTATGCCAATTATAATATTTAATAAGTAATGGTATAGTAATATTATTATTATACTAATTACTATAATACCATAATAATGAATGTTATTGATATTATTATAATATTATAACATATTAAATAATTATCCCATTATTCAGTATGCAACACATTTTGATTGAGCATGCGGGGGTCCCACGGTCACAGAGGGGAGTGGCTCTGGTGGGATTAGGCAGGGCCGTAAGAGTCCCCCACCCTCCCCGTGTCTGCAGAGCTATGCCCACCCCTAATATTGTCAAAAAAGTCCTGTATGACAGAGCCCCCACCAATAGAGTACTAACTTCTTAGGGTTGGAAGTAGAATGAGAGTGGGGGCTTCCCCTGAAAAAAGGGAAGAGAAGAAATTAGATCTGATGCAATTTCTCACTCATGTTTACTAACAGGGCATGTTGTCCCCCTTCCCCAAGCCCCAGTGACAGAAGGCATCAGCAGTTTCCAGGCAGGGTAACTGCAAAAGTTAAATACTAAAGTGCCTTGCATAGTGCTGGGCACACAGGCAGCCCTCTTCTTCTGCACCAGATTTCTTCTCAGCTGCTGGCCCATGGAAGCAGAGGCTAAAACCTACATAGCTCTCCTCTGTCACCCTCTGAAAACCAGGACTTGTGACCTTCTTTCCAGAATGCCAGAAGCTCATGAACCTCAGCCTCTCTTGACCATGAGCACAGAGCTGGTCTCATTTACTGAACTTTTTTTTTTTTAAGATTTGATTTATTTATTTGACAGAGAGAGACACAGCGAGAGAAGGAACACAAGCAGGGGGAGTGGGAGAGGGAGAAGCAGGCTTCCCACTGAGCAGGGAGCCCGATGCGGGGCTCGGTCCTGGGACCCTGGGATCATGACCTGAGCCGAAGGCAGACGCTTAACAACTGAGCCACCCAGGCGCCCCTCATTTACTGAACTTTAAGCACTGGTCCCAAGGTTCTGGGGCTGCTGAGTGCTGCTGGACCCTCTGGGTGGGCTTGACCTTCTCTGCGGTCCCTGGGAAGAGGGCAGATGCACAACTCTAGTGGATGCCCTTTATATCATAGTTGATATGAACGGCCCTTCCTGGGGTTCTGCAGGGAAGAATCCATGAAGCTATGAAGCCAGGAGCAGTGGTTTCCTTAACAGACCCACAACCCTACAAAACTCCATGAATTAGGGTCTCTGGGAGGGTGGTCCCTCCCGTGGAGGAGCTGAGGGATCTCCCAGGTCCTCCCACTACGGCTTAGAAACCTTTGCTTTTCTAGAGACCCTTACCCTGACATGATTCAGGCTGCTTCTTTGACTCTCATCTATTTCTCTTCCCATTTGTCTTGCTTAGTCTTCCCCATAAGTAGCTGTGAAAGGAAAATCACACATGCATATTTTATTTGACATGTTATTAAATGCAATTTATCACTCCCTGCATATATATTTATTTCCCTGTTTAACTTTTCACTCTGGGTGTCCTTGAAATAAAAAATCACACATTTTTAAACTTGGAAAGACGAGTACCTGATACCAATGCTCTAGTCCAAGTCCGTGGCAGACATCACTAATCAATCACAGCACTCTTTCCTCCTGAGCTGGGCACAACCTCAGAATCCTTCTCAATCTTGCTTTCCAAGCAAAGGGTGAGAATCACTTGAAGCTGGCATAGGAGATGGTGAGTATCTGCCATTCCTCAGAAGGTCTTACTCAAAGCTTTCCAACTCTACCTCCAGCCCTAAATGTACATCAGATCTCTGCTATAGGACATCTTTCCTCTTGGGTATTCATTCTCGCATTCAGGGTAATTCAAGATGAGCCCTAAATTGGGCAGCCCCTCCAGGCCTCCTAGGCTAAAGGGCATTTTCTCTCTTATGAGACCCCAGTCTCTGTGCCTCCTTAGGACAGATATTGTTTTCAACATATATGAGAGACAGGAAAAAAATGCCAGCAGGCTTTGTTGTCAAATCCCAGATCCACAGCTTCATCAGCCCTTCCTCCTTCCTTCCCATCCTCCCTCTTTTCCTTCCTTTCTTCAAAAATGTATGGAGTACCTACTGTGTACCAAGCAGAGGTCTCTACATAGATAAAATTGGATGTTTTATGTAAAATAGCTAGTACACTACTTGGGAGAGAGCAAGTACCAGATAAATAGTTGGAAGAAAGGATTTTTCAGACCTGGAAATGCACCCAGAGTCACCTGGCCCAGCTCTTGTTGCAGAGGAGGAAACTGAAGCCCAGAGCAACTGTCCAAGGTTCCTGCACAAGGTTGGGGCAGAACTAAGACAGGAACCCAGGCTTTTCAACTTCAACTCAGCTCACTTTTTGTTGCCCCCATTACTGGCTGCATGGGGGAGCTCCTTTTGGAGGGGTGAGGCTGGGCTGTGACCCTCAGAAGCCAAAGTCACCCCTTATTCCACATCCTCACACACATACGTGCGCAATGCAAGACCGTCCCGAGTGAAGCGAAGTCTCCAGGAGGCAGCCAGGGTGGACAGGAAGAGCACGCTGGCTGCCGATTTGTGGGCAGTGGGCAGAAGGAGAGCGTGGAGGCGGGAAGAACAGTTAGGAGTCTCAACGGGAGATGACATGGGCTTCCAAAAGGGCAGTTTTCGTAAAAACAGAGGGAACAATTGGAATTAAAGCTATCATAGCAGTACCCTTAGCAGGTGTTTCCTGTGCGGCGGGGTGACTGAGAGCAAAAGAAAGTGACTCCAAGACTTCTCTCTGGGTCACGATCTTGTCATGGGATGGCTTGCAATTATTTGCTAGTATTGCTTTTTATTTCCTCCTCCCATTTAAGGGATGTCTTTTCTTGAACGGAAGTTACTTAACTGCAGAGTAAGAATTCCTTAGGGTTTCAGGTCTCTGATATATACAAATTTCCCCTTTCTGCCTTTTCCTTGAGCACCGTGTTGCCCTTCGGTCCTGTTTTGCAATGACCCCGCGGATCTGTCTGTTGAACCGATTTCTCTTGGTTTTTAATTGTCAGAGAACATCTTCTTAAAGTACACACAGGAATATCAAGACACTTGACTTTTCTAAATCCTGACTTTGACACCCTCCACAGCTACCCGCTCCCTTCCCCAGGGCTCAGCAGCTCAGACCGGCTGCCTTTCGGCATCGAGGAGAACGGGGGCCCTACCCGCGCCTCAGCCAGGCACCACCACCACCAGCACCACCACCAGCACCAGCACCAGCACCACCCAAACTATGGCCTCTCGCTGACTCTGGAGAACAAGGAGGGGCCTTCCAGGTCTCCAAACTCCAGCAGTAAATCCCTGACAAGTGAGTAGGGGTGGAGAGGGCAGGGTGGGAGGGAGGGATGCTGCAGGGCGTGGACGGCTTCCCCTGTCTTGAGGAAGACCTTTTCTGTGCAGCACGTAAAAGTAAAGTCAGCGCTGGGTTACCAGGTCCAGGCTAGAGCAGACAAGAGCCTTGTGCATTTCAGCTGGAGCTTTCCCAGGAAACTCCGATTTAATTCCAGAGTGGCAATTCTCTCTCCACCTCATTCCCTAGCAGTTCCTACTTCCACTGGCTCAAGTAATAGAAAGAGGAGGGGAGCCGGGAGGCTAGAATCTCTACTTTTCCGAATTACAGGAAAACCTATTCTGTCCCATTTCTGATCCCTCTTCTGAGAGCAAGGTGATGTCAGGGAGGACCAGTGTACCCTGTTTCAGATCCCAGCAAGAGAAGGTGTGGAAATGGAGAGCAGGCACTTATTTGGCATAGAGGGAGCAGGAGAGCAGTAGAGGGAGAGGGAGAAACAGGCCCCCTGTTGAGCAGGGAGCCCGATGCGGGGCCTGATGCGGGGCTCAATCCCAGGACCCTGGGATCATGACCTGAGCCCAAGACAGTCACTTAACCAACTGAGCCACCCAGGCGCCCCTGGAGAGTAGGAACTTAGAAACATTTTTTAGCAATAGGATAGAGTGATTTTATATTCATTAAAACCAATAAAAAATGGGCTTGGATCTGGTATGTCTATTATTTCGTTTTTCTAGAAACTCCCTTTTATTATGCTTTACCAAAGAATTGATCTGTGACACACCAGAGGGGGAAGAACTGGTTCTTTTTCCACATACGATGTGCAAAAGCACCGAGCTAGAGGCAGGAGTCAAGACACTTCGATTCTGGTCTTCAGAATTTCTCTTGAGCCATGTTCCCTCTTGGACCTTTGGTTTTCTCATCTATGAAATGGGGTAGAGGGTGTCTAGTTGATGGCCAAAGAATCTTCCAGCTCTGACATTTCATGAGTCTGTGCAGTGATGAAAGGGTGAGCTGACGAGCCTTTAGCTGTAGACCACAGGGAACCATTCTGGGTTGGCTGAGTCGGAAATGGAAATTCATCGTTCCCGTGGTGTTGATGAATCAGAACTCTATCCCCTTGACTATGCACACTGCCCTGCTAGGCCATGTCTCATCTTCTTGTATCCAGATAACTGTAATAGCCCCCTAAGGGGTACCTCCTCCAACACCATCTCCATCTTGTAGATGCCAAAGTGAGACCTTTGACCAGAGAGCTCTGACGAAATGCCTTAAGCCCTTTCAGTGGTATTTCACTGTCCTGAGATAAAACCCACACTTCTGAGACCTTCCCGGCCTGGCCCCTGCCAAGGTCTCCAGACTGCCCTGACTCCTCACTACACTCTAGACACACGAAACCCCTCTCCGCTCACCAATTACTGAGCTGTGTTCCTAGTGCTGCCCTTTGCACCTGCTGTTCCCTCTGCCTGGGATGCTTTCCTCCACCCTAGTGAACTCCCACACATTTCTTCAGGAACCAACTCAAATATTGTCATCGGTGAAACTCTCTAACACGCCTTTCTGATTCCTGGCTTTGGAGTGCCTTCCCTTTTGCCTCTGTGGCAATTAAGTAAGCTTTAATATCTGCACGAGTCTCTGTCTCTACCACTAGACTAGAATTTGCCTCATCTGTCTTTTTATTCCAGCTGCCCAAATCTCAATTGCGAACGATAACTTGGCTCAAGCTTTAATATGTAATGACTATTTAATAATTAATGAATATTTCACTGTATTAATTGGTAAATACCAGCCAGTGGAAGGAGTGATGGCAAAGTAATCCAAGATAGTACAGAAATCAAAGTCAGTGAATTTAGTTTTAGAAACATAAAATGGTTTTCAAGGGCACCTCCGTATGCCTGTTAGCCTGAACACGCATCTTTCTAATTTGCATAGTGTTTTTCCATTAATAATGCATTTGTATGTAAATAACCTTCCCTAATCCTTACAGCAACCCTGCAGGTAAGTAGTTTCATTTTCATTTTAAAATGGCTCAGAGGCTCAGAGATAGAGTGACTTGCCCAAGGCCACACAGCTCATCCATGGGGGAGTTAGACTTTGAAGCCTTGATCTTAGCTGTTCTCACAGCCCAACAGCTGGTGCATATTCTAGGGATTTCAGGGGTGGGGGCGGGGAGAAGGCAGACAGAAGGGTGCTGGGGATCAGGCTCTGGTAAGCATCTTTTATCACGTCTGTCTTTCCTTATTCGTTCCCCCCTGGCTACTTGTAGAACTGAGTCCAGGACCGCCTGCCCTGTTCAGCGAAGCTGCTGCCCATCTAAAGAAGCTGGAACTGGAGACGGTGAAAGCTGCCGGACCCTGGCCTGCTCTGCACATCAACATAAATAAGGTGCCGAGGACCAGGGCTGGGTGATGAGCATGGACCTGTGGCTCACGTCAAACCTCTGGTTATTCCCCTGGGCTGCCTCCTAGATTATATGCCTTTGTCTTGGAGGAATTTCTATTAAATTTTTCCTGACATTTCTGCTCAGTCTCTTAAGAGCAGAAATGTACTTATATTCTTTCTGGCTGATTTATATCACTAGGAATTGCCCTCGGTGCTGAGTCTAACAGGCTGAATCTGTTAGTGATCTCTCCCTCCTTCTAGACCTAAAGCTCGATGAGGAGGTAGCCCCATTTACCTCTTTCCATTTCTTACCCATCTGTATTGGTCTGCTCAGGCTGCTATAAGAAAATACCATAGACAGGGTGCCTTAAACAATAGATATTTATTTTTCACTGTTCTGGAGGCTGGCAGGCCAAGATCAAGGTGTCTGCCAGTTTGGTTCCCTGGTAAGGGCTCTCTTCCTAACTTGCAGATGGTTGCCTTCTTGCTGTGTCCTTACCTGCAGAGAGAGCTCAGTCTTTCTCTCTTTCTCTTCTTCTTCTTCTTCTTTTTTTTTTTTTTAAGATTTTATTTGTAAGTAATCTCTATACCCAATGTGGGGCTCAAACTCACAACCCTGAGATCAAGAGTTGCATACTCTACCGACTGATCCCCTGTCTCTTCCTCTTCTTATAAAGCCACTAATCTGATCATGAGGGCCCCATTCCATGACATCATCTAAATCTGTTCACTTCCCAAGGGCCCCATCTCCAAATACCATCCTATGTGGAGTGGGGCTTCAACATATGAATGCGGTGGGGGGACAATTCAGTCCATAGCACCCTCTCTCTCTCTGACAATGCCTGGCACATAGTAGATGTTCAGTAACTGTTTGCTGATGTAAAGAAGGGAGGGATTGAAGGCAGGGGGGAAGAAGAGAGAAAAAGGGCTGGAGCAAAGCTTTCCTTTGCCTAGACCTGTTCTTATAATCCAAATGAGCAGCCTTATGAAAGCTAAATTTTATCTTCGAACTGTAGAATGTCAGGGCTGGATTCAGTGTACCATTTGGTTCAGCTTACCATCTGAGCTCAAAGGAAGGGAAATTATTTTCTCGAGGTCACACAGCAGGGGCTGAATCCTGGGTCCCCTGACTCCCGGCCCAGTACTCTCTGCACACCAGCAGGCCTCTCCATTTTGTACACCAGGCTTTCTTGACTTCAGCACTACGGATATTTTGGGCTGTGCTTGTTGTGGAGGAGCTGGTCCTGTGCGTTGCTGGATGTGTGACAACATCCCTGGGTTTCACCCGCTAGCTCCAGGAGCACCCCCATCCAGGTGTGACAACCAACTTCATCTCTAGACATTTCCACAAATATCCCCTAAAGGGCAAAAGCACTCTTAATTGGGAACCAGTGTTTTACGCATAATTTAATTTTTTAAATCCCCAAAGCAGTAGTCTTTTTCATTCGTGGATCATTTCTTCCACTCTGATGCTTCTTTGCTTCACCCTCCCTTTATAAGAGGGAATAGGAAGAATTTGGAAAATCTGGCCTGAGAAGCCCCCCCCCCCCCCCGCCCTTCTTACCCGCACTGGGCTGTTATTCCTCCACCATAGCCAACCCTCCAGCCTAGGCTAGACTTCCAGGATTTCTCACAAGACTCTCATTTCCTTCCATTCCCCCAAGGGGCAGCCTCAGGTCCCTTTGACACCGTCAGGGGCCCGCTCACCTGCTTTTTCTTCTCTACCACCCTCCCTGATGGCCAGCTGCAAAGAATCCCTCCCGTAGGATGGCGTCGACATTCACTCAGCCAACGGGTGCTTAGTGAGCAGGCCTATCCAAGGTGCTGGGGAACCAACCCAATATATCATGTGCCCCCTGCATGGTCTTCTTTCTCTTAGTCTCTTCGTTTTCAAACTTGTTTTCTGCAATCCATACCATAAATGGTTTGAAGAGACTTACCCAGAGTTTGGCCGAATCCAAACATACTTTGTGAGGCGAAACAGCAGATAGCGAGCCACAGACGGCTCACAAGCTCTGTGTAATCTGTAGTTGCCATGAATATTGGTGGGCCGGCAGCAGGAGTGGCTTGCTCTGGGTTAAGGTATATCTGAGACAACTGTGCTTTGCTGCACATTTTCCTTGGAGCCCTTTTTTCTCTCCTTCCACTTGAAGAAATGCATCAGGGAGCAAGTGGGCTAAAGTGATGTCCGATAATCTTGAGTTTGTCCTAACATAGAGGCAAAGAACGTTACTTCACACTATGACTCTGTCCTTAATCACACATTCTGTGCCATGGACCTCCCAACGTGTCATGACCCCACAGTTGGCGACCAATGGCTTCAATGCTTTCAAGGATTTTTCCAGTCTCACGGATCGAGAATCCTCTGATTCTTCAAAGTTTGGATAAGCTCCTGTTCTCGATCTGATGGTGAGAAGACATTTTCATTGCCCAGGTCCAAAGTTGTACCCGAAATTATCACAGGGATTTAAATCTCACCAGATTTCGAATGTGTAAACAATGTTGTAAAAAGTGCATCCGATCCTTTCTTTATCCCCAAACCACTTCCCCCAAACAGACGGACTGTTTCCAGCTATAATCATCTCAAAGCCCGATTGTCATTCACGTGTATGTTGTAAATCTGTATTTCAATATTGAATGATAAGGCATCTTTCACCATTCAGATTGAATGCAAAACACAACGCGTGGTCACGCAAAAGAGAGAAAGCACAGTTCTTGGAACCATCTTTCAGGCTGGAATGATGGACTCGTTGTAATCCAGATGTTTATCTCCTAGAGATGCCTTTGATGCAAACCTATGCATAGAATGATAGTCAAATTTCCCAAAGTTTATATTGGTCTTCACCTGCGTCCATTCATAGAGTAGCTCCTGCTTCATCACGTAGACCAGGAACAAGCCATCTTTGATTTTATATCCCAAAAAAAGCAGTTTTAAAGGACTAAATTCAAAAGGAAAACCAATGCTGAATTCTCATTCTTTTCTTATTTTAGCAGCATTCATTTTTTTTTTTTTTTAAATAGATCTTCGGTCATTAGTGTCAGTATAACTATATCCCCTTAAGCAATTGTCAAAAACCCCAAGTGGGCTTTGGAACCAATTTAATTCTTATATTCCAGCATATCATTACAGAAAATTAAATCTGATTTAAAAATTAACTCTTCACACACCAGTGAAAACACCCATGCTGATGTTAAACATTTAGCTTCATGTGGCAGGATTTACAAACACAAGATAAATTATCCTAGAGCTATACTACCAAGCTCATCTTTCAAAATAAATGAGTTACTTATTTGTTTTGGAAGTTGGGGGCATTCCATGTCTTTTAGGATAATGATTCCACCCAATTCGATGGCTTAGGATCATTAGTGCCCTCATGTCTGATGCTCTTTTTCAGTTGTGTTTTCTTTTCTAACCAAAGAATCTAATGTAAGAGTGCCGTTCATATCTTTTTATTTTTTTTTTCTCATTTGCTCATCACAGTAATCTTATGAAGGAAGAAACTGAGACTCAGGGAGGTTAAGGGGATCCAGTATGGCTGAGCGGTCAAGATCTTGGAGGCACCCGATCCTGAGTGTGATTCGGGGCTCTTCTGCATCCTTTCTGTGTGACCTTGGGCCAGTGACTTACCATCTCTCTGCTTTGTTTTCCTCATCTATAAAACGGGGATGGTGATAGTATCTGCCTTCAAATGGGAGGAACCAATGAAATGTGCTTCGCCCACAACAAGCTCTCAGTAAATGTGAGGGACTGGAATTATTTTTCTTTTCATCATCACCATCCTCATCATTTTTGTTTTATGGTGCCAGACAAGGCAAGAGCTGAGATTAAAATCCAGGTCTTCTGTCCCTGCTTATCTTGCTGTTACATGAAATGGCTTCATTCTACTCAATCAACCAAGGGCTCCTTGATGCATTTGGAGGTCCTGCTGGGAAACTGCATTCTGTGCTCTCTTTTCTTTATTAAATAGTGTCAACCAGCCAATTGCCCTCTACTTCCTCTAGCACTTTCATAACACTCCTGCTATGTGTACCAAGGTGCTCAGTTGGACTTTTGAATTAGCAAATCGGATTCATTTTGGAGCTTTAGAACATTTTGTTCTTGCCCTGTAACCTGTAGCCAACATGCTGCCTCAAGTCCTGCTATTGGGACTTTTAGCAGTCGTAAGGTCTTATACCTTTCTTATTAAACACATCTCTTTAGCCATACATCATTATCATCTTCTTTAGTAGGTGTTTATTGAGCACCTGCTGTGTGCCAAGCACCACGTCAGCGCTGGGATATGCGCTGACCACCATAGGCATGGCTCACATTAAGACTTTATTTGCAGTTTGGTGCGTGTACCATCAGAGATGATTTCAGGTTATACACATAGATGAGTATTTTTTCATAGTTATGTAATTATCATAATGTCTATTCTAATAAATAGCCATGAAGCCTATGATTTCAAAGATATTAGTGTGTAGGACACTAATATGAAAATAGGTAGTCCCCAGGTAATCCACCTTAACTGGATCATGTAAGTGATAGGTACATGTTGGGGCGCCTGGCTGGCTCAGATCAAGGTTGTGGGTTCGAGCCCCATGTTGGATGTAGGGATTACTTAAAAATAAAATCTTTAAAAATAAATTATAGGTACATGTTTAGTGAGTACCTAGGAAATGGCAGAACAATGAAGGTAGGGTATCAAATTACCGATATCTGAGACACTCTGTAATGAGGTGGCATAGAGACAAGTTTTACAAACTTCAGCAAGATTTATTGTAAAAATACCAGTGCCTATTTTTCACTTTTTCCCCAGCAAGTCACAGGATTGAATCTCTCTGTGTGAGAGGTGGCAGTTATGGGGGGAAACCGCACTGCACTAGGGGACGGAAAACTCGAAGCTTGAGTCCCGGAGCCGCCCCTAACTGGAAGAGCCATTTCTCTTTGACCCTTCACCCCGTCTCCTCTCCCTGATACACGAGGATGCGAGGATATGCTTGTGGATCCTTTGCAAACACTAAAAGCAGGGGCGCGCGTATAAGGAGTTGGGGGACACACTTGTGTAGGTGTTTACGACTGAGTGTCATTTGCAGTTACGGTTGATGGGAAAGGTTAATGTAGCTGTTTTCTTTCCTCTTTGTTGACAATCGGCTGCGTGTGTTTTGGGTTTGTCACAGGCTGAAGAAAAAAAAGTTTCCGAGAAGACTCTTCAGACCCCTCTTTTGCCTTCCCCCATAGCCGACCACGTGAAGTGTAACATTTTGAAAGCCCAGCTGGAGAACGCATCGCGAGTGAGTGCCCAGGTCCGTGGAGCTGGTGCCTTCCTTTGATTTCACACCACAGGAGTTCCTTCCTGCCATAGCGGAGAAGGAGGCCCTCTAGGCCCGAGATACCGTGTCCGGCAGGGTCCAGCCAGGAGACGGGAGCCATACCTGCTATGTGAACAGAGATTTCAACACCCGGAGTTATTAACTGGCGTACAGTTATTCACTGGGGCACTGCTGATGGGTTGAAAGCCACAGACTCCTGCTCTGACCTCCAGCGTACATTCAGCTGGCCTCCCTGGCTGAGTGGGTGTCCCTTCCTCCCCCACCATTCTCTGTGGGACTCACTGGAGGGAGGACAAGGCTTCTATCAAAATCATGAAAATCATATGACATAATTCCTCCCGGGCTTGTTACACTGATATGAAAAGACAGATTCTAAATTCCTTTGTAAGCTGTAAGTGGTATGTGAGCATAGAGCTGATTATTATTCCTGATCAGCAATGTCAGGTGGGGGATTAAACTGTGGGTTTGGCTTTTCCCACACTCTCCCTTTCTCACTCAAGTATGAGTTGGCACATAGCAGGTGCTCAATAAAAGTATGAATGCAAGTGCTGATTACATTTGAATGATTAAGTGTTAATCCCCATAATGGGGAATGACTCATGAAAACATTTTTTTTTCTTAACTTATATAAACACCGGAGAAAATTTGTCATTGACTGAGTACTTAGTGAACCACCTCTCTGAGCTACCTTCACATTTCTGTAATCCTTTGAATGTTGGAGACTTGAAAACATTTTTTTGCTCACCAAAATAATTCAGTTTTGACTAACCGGCCTGTTTTCTTTAACAGGTTGGAAAAGAGGAATCAACGTTTGTAAATATCAGTAAGAAATCCAGTCTTCAGGATGCTAATGTAAGGTCTGTTGCTTCTTGTTTGAATGGGGAAACAATACTCTGTATCATCAACGTTATCCTCGAAACATTACTCACGAGGGCATTTGCTAATAAAATCAGAGAGGAAAAAAAATTGGAATGTCAGTATGAAGAGATAGAAAAAGACTGGCTTAAAACAACTTTGTTTAAGTCTCAGAAATGCTGCTTATTCTCGGTTTCATTATTTCTAACTGCTGTGCTAACAAAGAAATCACTCTGAGGTGAGGAGTATATAGATAAGACCTTGTCATTCCTCTACTTGATGTCCTTTCTTTAAAGACTGCTCTGCTCTCAAAGTGGAGTCCAGACTTCTCAGCAGAGCATGGCAGACCCTGTAGGACTGGGCTTCTGCTCTCTGTCCCGGCTCAGTTTATCACTCTTCCTTTGGCCATTGATGTACTTTTCATATTGGACTCCTTTACAGTACTAGAACCACACATGCTCTTTATTTTTTTTTAAAGATTTTATTTATTTATCTGAGAGAGAGAGACACACAGCAAGAGAGGGAACACCAGCAGGGGGAGTGGGAGAGGGAGAAGCAGGCTTCCCACAGAGCAGGGAGCCCGATGCGGGGCTCTATCCCAGGGCCCTGGGACCATGACTTGAGCCAAAGGCAGACACCCAACGACTGAGCCACCCAGGCGCCCCCACACATGCTCTTTAAAGCTTCCGGGCCATCACCACTTTAAACCCAGAGGAAAACCTTCCTCCTCTGATCTCACAGAGAGCAGAGACCCTCCCCCTCTCAGCCCAAGTAAGTAACAACCTATAAATCATGGCAGTCCCATTTCCACCTTGGTGGTCTAATACTGGCAGGGTACCCCTAGGTGGAGTTTCCTAAAATGGGTCCAAGGGTCACTGCCTCAGTCTCTCATTAAAAACACAGACTTTTAGGGGTGCCTGGTGGCTCAGTCAGTTAAGTGTCAGATTCTTGGTTTTGGCTCGGGTCGTGATCTCAGGGTCATGAGATCGAGCCCTGCGTTGGGCTCCACGTTCAGTGGGGAGTTGGCTTGAGATTCTCTCTCTCCCTCTCCCCCTGCCCCTCCCTACCATGCACACACTCTCTCTCAAATAAATAAATAAATAAATCTTAAAAACAAAACAAAACAACAACAACAACAACCACAGACTCTTGGGTCCTACTCCAGACCTTTCAGATCCTTGGGTGGGGGTGGGGGGCAGACAGGAACCAGAATTTCAGCAAGTACCCCAGGTGATCCAGGAACCACTGCTCTGAGGCATTCTTGATGTTAAAAATAAAACTCACACTTTTCTATGTCACCTTTGATTCCCAATCCGTGTCCTTTGTATAACGTTGTCTTACTCCAGAGCACATACCCAGCTGCCTCCTGGACTCCGAAAAACCTTAATTCATCTCTTCCCATCCTGCCTCACTAACCCTTCACCTGTTTTTCAGTCTTGGTTAATGGCATTATTACCTACCCTTCGTCCAGATCTGATGCCTGGGAGTCCTTGACTTTCTCCTCCTTCATCCCCTTGTAAAATTGGTCACCATGTCCTGCTAACTCAGTATTCATATTTTCCCCCACATCTGTCCTCTCCTCTTCATGACCTGAATCCCAGTCTACAGCAAGTCCTCACCGTCTCTCTGCCTGGATACCTCCTGCCACAGTCTTTGAAGATGCTCCCAGCCACCCTGTCTTCACCAGGATTCATTTCCTTGCTCTAAGGGTTTTTCCAACAAGCAAGTCTGACTATGCCATTCCCTTGCCTCAAACTTTTAGTGACACCTTGGACTTCAGTGTAAATTCCTGAGGCCCCTCATGACCCGGTCCCTGCTTCCTACTCTAGTGGAAATCCCCTGCTCTTCTGCTAGGACCTCACCTGTTAGCGGTTCCAGTGCCTTGCATTCTATAGCTCTCTACTCTGTCTTCTACCTTGGAAGTCTTCCCTCCATCTGGTTAAGTGTAAACTCCTCCACAAAGCTTTCCAGATGCCAACCATTCCACCCAAGTGAAGTTATGCGCTCCCTGGTTGAGTGTGAGTTCTTTCAGGAACTATATTCAATTGACTCCAGGGTCCCAGCTTGAAGAAATCATGAATCTAGACTATGCTGACCCCAATTTCTTTATTTGCTCATTCGTTCACGTGTTTATTCAACAAACATTGATTAGGCACTGGCCACATGCCTATCACCTTATTAGACACTAAATAGAGGAGAAAATGGGGGCTCAGAATTGTTCATTGACTTGCCAGAGGTTCCTTGCTTAGGACCTCAACTTCTTTTGATGTCCATAGGTCCCAGAAGGTAATTTCTGATTATTTTGTTTTTGTTTTTTAAACATTTTATTTATTTATTTGACAGAGGGAGAGAGAGAGCTCAAGTAGGCAGACAGGCAGGCAGTGGGGAGGGAGAAGCAGGCTCCCTGCTGAGCACAGAGCCCGATGCAGGGCTCGATCCCAGGATGCTGGGATCATGACCTGAGGCAAAGGTAGACGCTTAACCAACTGAGCCACCCAGGCGCCCCCTGATTTTTTTGAAATGAAATTAGTCATAACCACTACAAAAATGTGTGAAAGCTTTTTCTTAAAATCACTGTTTTGAATAGGGCCCATTGGTTATCTGGCATATTTTCTTGAGGAAATATAGAAATGAAACAATTTTTAACATTTTCACATACACAAAATTAAAATGTTTTAGAACAGGTCTTAAGTCTGATTATGCATTTTTCACATTAAATACCCTGTTTATCTTTTAAAAATATATCCTGTGATATATTTAAAATAACATAACTACCAGATTACTTTGAAGTAAAAATGGGTTATCCATGGGTTTCTCTTTGCTTATTTTATTGGCAAAACCTGGTAATGAACCAAACCCTGGAGGTAGGTGTTTTGGTCAGAGAAGCTGTATGTGGTACCCCAATTATATTCAGTTCCCACTTGCTATATTTTCCTCCCTATTATTTTGGTTTTTGTTTTTGGACTTTCTATGATATATTTAAAAATTATATTTAATAAGTAGAGTAGAAGGGAGGAAAAATGGATATGTTGATTACCAATGTTATTAAGGGTTTAAATTAACTGAGAAAGCAGTTCCTACAGCCAAAACTAGACCATAAACTTTTCTGTTGGTGATGTTCTGTTTCTTGGTATGTCTCTAGAAGTCCTATTCCTATACGTGTGGAAACTACCCAACCAGCAGTGGAAAAGCCGGAAATCAAGCCTCCCCGAGTGAGGAAGTTAACAAGACAATACAGTTTGTGAGTTCTATACTTCAAGTTTTTCGATAATAGTCACAAAGTTGATACTAAATGTTCAGTTATAAATGTTTTTTTAGCCTCTTGCACCACTTCCAAAGAGCCATCTCCCAAAATACAGTTTGTTTCCAATTTAGTCCCAATAATGGGACTTGACTTCTCTCCCTGAAAACATTACATAGTTGGCATATGTATTGATTATTGATTGCTGTGTAACCATTTACTCCAAAATTAGTGGCTTTAAACAGTCCACATTTATTACCTCACAGTTTATGTGGGTTGGAAGTCCAGGCATGGCTTAGTTGGATCTTCTGTGTCAGGGTCTCTTAGAAGGTTGCATTCAAGGTGTGGGCAAGGGCTGTGGTCTCATCCGAAGGCTCATTCTTACAGGTTGGAACAGGATTTGGTTCTTGTTGGCTGTTGTCTGGAGGTTGCCCTCGGTGCCTAGTCATGTAGATCTTTCCTCTCTGATGGAGAAATCACACAAGAAGAGCCAGAGAGAACTCTTCCAAGGCAAAAGTCCCAGCCTTTTGTAACCTCATCACAAGTGACATCCCATCACTTTTGCCATATTCTGTTCGTTAGAAGCAAGTCAGGAGGGCCAGCGCACACTCAAGGGTCAGGGATCATGCAGGGGCATGGATACCAGGATGGGGAATCATCAGGAGCCATATCAAAAGCTTCATCCATGGCATAATTGTGAAATGGTTTTTGATGCAGTGTTCCATGATTCATTGTTTGTTCACATAATTGTGAAATGGTAGCATGATCTGTCAACAGAGCCAAAGCTAATCACGGAGCTGTGTGCGACCTATGGGAGGAGTCCTATCCCAAAGTATCCCAGAACCACCAGGGCCTGTCCAATTTTGTTCAGCTTAATGAAAATTCCGTGGCTCCCATATGCATAGAGTTGTTTTAGGCTCTTCTAGGAAGAACAAAATGACTTTGATAGTTCCGGTCTGAGGAGTCACCATTTATTGGAGGGAGAGACAGATTGCAAATAATTATAACAAACAAGACGGGTAACTGCTGTTGTAAGAGTAGTAGTATTTTAGTAAGAGCCGTAGTGCTAATCACAATGGTAGTTCCCATTTTTTGACCTTGGCTGTGGCACTATGCCTGGGTGTGTAATTGACCAGAGGGCTGCAGGGGGATCTTTGGGTGCCATGGAATGTATGCAGCTCTGGAGTCAGAAAGGCTTCTGTCAGAGTCCTGGCTAGTTTACTGCTCTAAACTCTTGGGGAAATTACTTTTTCAACCTCTCTTTCCTTATCTGTAAAATGGGTGAGCTCATACCTAGCCCTGAGGAATTTGGTGAGGGTTGATGTGCCATAATGCAGATCTAGCCCATAGCAAGGAACCTGGCCAGTGGACGAACTAGCTCCCTTTCCTTTCTTCTCAAGGACCTGAAAGCCTCCGAGAAAAGGTCCAGTTTGGGGGATACCCTGAATGCAAAGTATAGGCTGGGGAGGGTAACTTTGTACACACTTAAACAGCCAGCTCGAGCCTGCACCTGGCAAAAGGGAGGAGGCCACCACCTCCCACCTCATTAGCCTGAACAGAAATGCTGGACGGCTGGAGCAGCTGTGTTTCCTAGGAAAGCCAAAATGAGTAATTCAAATAATTAACAGTCCTAATGGTTTCTGGGGGACAAATTAAACCATGAAAATTCTGCTCCCCTGAGGATAAAACTGTCAGGATTATTAGACTTTCCTTTTACATTTTGAAACTCCAAATGTTATCACCACCTATTCAGGATATGTAATCATGTTGGAAACAATGACTAATATGTGGCCTGGAAGGAAAGAAAATTTAACTCACTACAGTGGCTCTTTTAAGGAAACCCTTTTCAAACCTCTAACTTCACATGTGTATTTCTTAAGCTACTCCAAAGTATTTTGCTTCAAAAATAAAAGAATAGCAGCATTTTCCCCATTAGTAATGATAGCAAAATTAATGGGTGAGATTTTCCCAGTTTTAAGTTTTTGCCCCATAAAAATAGTTCTGAAATCATTGACACCACCACCAGTCCTCTCTTCCAGTCATAAATATTGGTAAGTTAATAAACACAGTGTCAAGGAATACAGATGGAAAAAACTCAGATTTCCCTTTTAAAAAATATTTCTGCATTACTGTTTTTGAAATACACACACACACACATACACACAGCCCTTTTGGCTATTAGGGTATTCTGAGTTCCTAGGCCAGCATAATGTGGATTTGGATTTTAGGGTTCTCCACCAAGAGCATCACAATGTTCAAGTACTCTGAACGAGTTTTCGGATTGATGCTTTTAAGGATATACACACAAACCTCCTGGGTTGTTCTGTCCTGGAGGTAATGACATAGGGAAGAAACATGTGGCTGCTGATGCACGCAGAGAAGAGAGAGAAGCAGAACTCGAGGTAGAGGTCGAGGCAGGAAAGAGTGTCCTCTCTTGATACCAGGCAGTGTGTTTAGGAAATGATGAGTGGCTCTATTTTCTTCTAGAAATGTAACTTTACTATTTATTTAAACATCATATAAAAGCCTAAAAATATTCTAAAGAGAAAAATACCCTAAGTCTGAAGAGAAAAGATAACCAATTCCCTAGAATCATGCCACCAAAAATAACCTATGTTCACACTGAATGACTGTTGCTGTAGACATTTTTCACATATTATTAAAATGGAAGGAAATCATTTCAAAGAAAAGAATCCAGCTCCACATAAAATTGTACTTATTAAATGTTTCATGAATTTAACATGAATTTACCTCAGAAACGGAGGTTGAATTGAAAGACTCAGTGTAGTTAAGCAGATTATCTCTTTGCTACAAGATCTAAGTTAGGACAAAAGGTTATAAAAACCATCAAGAATTTGGAGTCTTTTTCAGTTTTAGGCAGCATCAGTTGACTTCCTGCTGTGAAAGATGAGCTATGTTTTTGTTTCTTTTTAATAGCCTGTAATGTTAAACTGAATAACTATGCTTTTAAGGTTATAATTTTCTTTTTTAATGAGGCAGAAAAGGATTTTAACCCCACTCTTCCACTTAACTAGCTATGTGACCTTGAGCAAGTCATGTCACAATCTGCCGCTGAATAACATCTGTTTCTCTGAAGAATGGAGATCATAACGCAGGGCCGTTGTGAGGATTAAATGGGCTAAGGCCTGTGTTACTGAGCTGATTAACTTCATCAGCATGGATCCGCATATGTGGTGTCTTACTCGTTTTCCCACTTATTCCAACCTCACCTGTCCCCTTATTGAGTCCTGCATCCTCCTCTTGAGGCTTCTGCATATACAGAAAGATCTGAAATCTCCCAGGACCCTCCTCAGGGAGTCCCATCCTCACCTCAGTTTGTGTACCATGGCCACGTTTCCCACAAGGCCTCTGTGAGGGACCCTGCTCAGGCCACACTGGTGCTCCCTGGCCATGAACCCTTTAGTCTCCAGGCTTGCTCAGCCATCACTTCTAAATCATAACCCCTGTGCCGGGGTAGCTCTAGGACTTCCACGTGCAAGCCCCTCAGGAAAAGTGTATCAGGGTCCCTAAGACTACCTGATTCACTAGAAGGACTTGTAGAACTCAGAAAAGCTGTCATCCTCACGGTTATGGCTTATTCCGGTGGAAGGATCCAGACTAAAATCAGCAAAGGAAAAGGCACATAGAGTGGAGTTTAAGAAGACCGGGCACAAGCTTCCACTTGTCTTGTCCTAGAGGAGTCATGTGGTTAGTGTCTCATTCCAGCAACATGTGACAACATACGTGAAGTCGTGCCAAGCAGGGAAACTCACCCGAGCCTTGGCGCCCAGGGTTATTATTGGGGGTCAGTCACATAGTCATGGAACAACTACCCAGTCTCCAATAACCGCCCCCCAACCCCAAGGTCAAACTGATAATAGTGTGGCCCTAAGCCCTAGGCATACAAGAGCTCGTCTTCACTATAAATCACATTGCTAGCATAGACTATGTGGCATGGCCCAAGGTCGGGTATGCAGTGACACCCCTATCAGGCGGGATATTCCCAGGGCCCAGAGCTTCTCCCAGAAGCTCGCCAATGGTTCCTGTGGCATGTGTCGAGTTAGAGCTCCCCAGGCCTGCAGGGTTAGCCCTGTACTGCACAGGCGACAATCTGGTTGGCATTAGGGGATCGGGGACTTGTCTTAATTTCTGTAAGTTTGAGAAGATACTGTTAATACTAAGAATGGGCGATTCACGGCACTGCTCTGTCCTGGGCCACTATGACCAGATTAAAAGGTCTTCCTGCCTTGACATACTTTGTGGGAGGTCAAACCTCCCCCACACATCCAAGCCCTGGAAACAAACCCAGAATGCCAACCAGGACTCCTCCTCCATCGTGGTGACTTCCTGTCTAGTGTACTTTTCTCCCTCCATCATCCCATTCCGCCGGAGAGATTCTAAGACCAGAGCTACGAGGCCCCCAAACACGTGTGCCCAACTCCTCCCCTGTAACTAGTTTATCACACCAAAGGAATAGTTGCTGTTAGGCCACAAAAGGCGCCATTATACTTTTCACCCAGGGCAGTTGGTTCTTAAATGGCTTGTATTTACCCTCATAAGGGAGGCCACTCCCTTGGTTTGGTGGCTCCTCAAAACATTAAGCATGGGAACTACCATATGACCCAGCAATCCCACTTCAAGTGGAATCCCAATCCAAAAGAATTGAAAGCAGGGTCTCAAACACATTAGTATATCAACAGGTGCATGGATAAACAAAATATAGTCTATCATTGCAATGGAATATTATCCAGCCCTAAAAAGAAATGAAATTTTGATATATGCTACCACATGGATGGACCTTGGAAACGTTGTGGTAAGTGAAGTAAACCAGATACAGAAGGACATCTATTGTATGATTCCACTTATGTGAGATACCTAGAATAGTCAAATTCATCCAGACAGAAAGCAGAACAGCTGTTACCAGGGGCTGCAGGGAGAGGGCATTGGGAGTTACTGTTCAGTGGATACAGCATTGCTGTTGGGGGTGATGAAAAAGTTTTGGGTGTAGACCGTGATGATGGGTACATGACATCGCGAATGTATCAAATTTCACTGAATTGTACACTGACCAATGGATAAAATGATAAATGTTATGTGTCTCTTTCCATGATACAGAAAAAAAATTTTTTTTAAATCCCTTGGCAAATGACAGAACATCCAGCCCAAATTGGCTTTGGCAAAAATGTCCCTGTATTGGATCCTGGAAGCTGGACATCTGGCAGACATCTGCCCCCACCCCTTCCCGGCCCCACGCCCCACAGCCTGTTTATTGTTGTAATGAGCAGAGCTTCATGTGCTTTTAGTAACCGCAGTGATGAAGATGACCTCCCTCCTGACCTGGCCGAGGCAGTAGGAGCGCCCATCGCCACAGCCACAAACACCACCATGGCTGCCATGCAAGTCTCCGTGCCGCCGGTGTCCCCCAAGGGCCACAAACTCAGCTCGCCTCAGAACTCAGAAGGCAAGGGCCAGCTGTCCCCAGGGGCCAAGGTATGGGGGGAAAGCCCTGAGGAGTAGCTGCACTGGCTAGGAATTCAGTATAAATTTAGCACATGGCATCCCGTGCGCATTTAAACTTGGCGCAATCAACTGTGCACTCGTAAAGCAAGGGACACGGCCACGAGGGCAGTCTTTTTATATAACTCTCCCCAGAAGAGGACCTGTTTATGAGATGCAAATGGTATAATAAAGACCTTGTGCACTGTACTTTAAGAGAAATGGAAGAGATTTTTGAGGGCAGTTTTGGTTTTAGAATATCATCCCTATATAATCTATTGCACTGTAAATAGAGAAGACATGTTTTTCCACCCATGATGGAAAATTTGGAAGAGTAAAAAATAAAAACATAGAAGTGTCCCCGTCCCCTTCCTTATATTGGATGGTCCATATGAATAGTTTGAAAATGGGAAATTTTATTTTGTCAGTTTGGAATTTCAGGACATTGCTAGCTATGCAAATTGGCTGTGATAAAGGCCTTACTCAAGACATTTCTCTTGGTTTTCTCTGAGTGACCCTTAGCTGTGGTCATTCTACTCAGCGAGTGGTCCAAATACGTGCAAACCCCTTGGCTTGCTCTACCAGTAGATGTCAAGTCAAAGGCTGCCTGGTCTGTGGACCCCACTGAGGAATGGTGGGTGTGTGGGGTGGGGGTCCCAAAGGCAAGACCAGACCCCAGACTCTGTTCCCAGCTGCTCCCTCCACATCCTTTATGGCTTGGCTGCTTGAAACGAGCAGTTATTCCACAGGACTTGTTTCTCCAAGACTGCTTCCTTCGCCTAAAAATGGGAATAAGGTCTGCTTCCCTGCCCAGCTTGTGGGCCAGCATCAGGTCCAGTGGAGGGGGCATCTGGGCAAATAGGTCATGATTCCAGTGGTAGCCTCTAGGTAACAATGGGCCAGGCCACATCCTGCTTGACCACGGCCAGGCATTTACCCGCTCCCTTCCCAGGATCTTTGGGAATCCCTTTGTGGTTCTCAACAGGAGATCCTGCTCAGGCCAGGGACCCTTCAGCCGATGACTGGCCCAGACTGAGGCTCCCTGCTTTCCTGTCGATCACCTCCTGGTATCTTGAGCCAGGTTCCCCTGTCTCGTGCAGAGTCCCTCATACTGCTTTGTTCCAAGTTCAGACATAGGTTCTCATCACCTTTTCTTCACCATGGTTAAAACCAAGCAAAAAAAAAAAAAAAAAAAATGTATGAAACAAAGGAGACTTCAGTGGGGGATGTGGGTGGCATCCTACCAGAGGCCACAGGGCTCCCTCTCCTGGCCATCTCTCTCCTTAGGGCCCTGCTTGTGCCAAGTTGATGGGGCTTATTTTTTTTCTCATAAAGGGCCTCTAGGCCTCCCATGCTGCTGAGACTCCAGGGCAGGAGGGGGAAAAAAAATGTTTTCCTAAACACTGAATGTGGCTTTCAGAGATACTTCCCTCCCACGAGGAAAATCTCCCTCATTATTATGCAGATGATGTTTTTAAAAAAGTGTTTTTAAAGTAAACTCTGTGACACACACAGGGCTTGAACTCCTGACCCTGAGATCAAGGATGGCGTGCTCTACTGAGTGAGCCAGGCTGGCGCCCCCTGTGCTCCTGAGTTTAGCTCCTTGCGGCCTTAACCCTCTTGATCCAGGTTGGGGGCTTTGCTCTCTGTCTATTCAAAGGACTCTTTGAAGCATTTCCCCCTACAAAAGACCAGTCCAAGAGCACTCAAAGCTCTTAAAAGAAGTTGTTTGCACCTTTTAAAGAGGCAGTTTTCTCTAGCCTACACACTATTTCTGCCCATTGACATTGGGGGTTAGGCTTCTATAATATGCACACTGCTGGGCAAGTGAACCCTATGGGGTACTGGAGCGGTCATGGGCTTGGTGATAGAAGGGAGGGAGAGGGGAGGGAGGAAACTGATTTCTGGTGACATGCCCGTGTCTGTCTGGAGCTGTCATTCACCAGCAGTATTTTTATCTGCCTTCCTAGAGTCCCTCTGACCGAGGAGGTGCCTTTACCTTGGAGCCAGGCGATCTCCTGATGGACTTCACAGAAGCTACTCCTCTGGTAAACTTCCCATTTTGCTAAAACCAGAAAAGCCACAGATCATAGAAACATCTTGGCAGTGGGACAGATGGACAGAGGTGGGCATCGCCATTGGGAAGGCTCTTCCTCTTGTCCTGCACACAGCCTGGAGGCTCAGGGATCAGCCTTCTTTGGGGGTTCAGGCACATGGGTCCTTTTACCTCCCGGAGCCCTCCGGGGAGGCGGTGCTCCCTTTCCCCTGAGGGCGGCTGCAGGGGTCCCACCCCGCCTGTCTGCTGCTTTCCAAATGTGGAGGGCTCCTTGGGGCTTGGGGCTTGGCTTCCTGGCTTCCTGGGCTGCTCCCCGCATGCCCACCCTTGGGGCATCTTTTGCTGCCGCTTCCAACAACGTGCTCTGGTCTGAAGCACTGGCTCAAGGCTTCACCCCAGCTTTCCAGGCCCCTCACGCCTCCCTGCCATCCTCCATCCTCTGCCTATAGGTCTCCCCTTAGGGATGGTGGTGGTCCTCGTGGGTGGTCCTCCTGCATGTGGGAAACCCTTTCAGAGCACTGGAGAGAGAGAGCACTGGAGCCCAGGAGTCATCCAAGGCAGACCTGGCTTCAGTCTCTGCTCCCCTCCTTAGGAGCCTTGTCATGGGATAAAAGATGCCATCGTTTGCCATGTCTGCCTCAGAGTGGTCTGATGATCACGTGACACAGAGAGAGCCCTTGAAGAATATTAAAGCACCATAAATGTGTGTGAGGTATTAGGAATAGTATTAGATGATACAGGCAGACTTGGATATACCTTTGGCTGGGCTCAGCCTGACACCCAAGTGTACTTGAGCATAAATCATGGTCCACAAATGTGGAGCGTGAGTCAAAACGTGAACCAAGTCACAAAGTGCCTCCTGAGAGCTCAGTGCACCCCTGGCCATGTGTGAGGCTGGGGGAGCAGGCAGGGAAGCGAGAGGCTGGAGGGGAGTCGGGTTGATAAAGGGCCAGGCTCGACAGGACAGCCGTGTAGAAGATTCTCGGGGAGAAGCCACAAGTGGGAGTCATTCAGGACTGGCTCCCTGGAGGGGCAGGTGGTGGATAGGAAGGGTTTCCGGAAGGCTTTGGAGAGGGGACAAATGAGGCAAAGTACTGTCTAGGCTTTAGGAATGATCACTGTCCCTGCTTCAGCTGGTACAGGGCGATCATTTGGGATGTATACAGTTGTACTCATCTCGAGAGTTGGTACAGTCTGAGAGCTTTGAGTCAGCACATTTGGATAAACAGCTGAGAACTGACAGTGGGTCAGACAGCCTTCTCCGGGAACCTTCGGAGTTACTCTCTTCCCCTGTTGGAGAAAATGCAGTCAAGTTACTGATGGCCTTCTTGTTGGACAAATTGCCAAGGTAGGCTAACCCAGAAGCAGGGCCTTGTCTCATTCCCTTGTCATCCTTCTGCGCAGATAAGGAAACTGCGTCCCAGAGCGAGGTAAATCACACAGGGACTGAGCTGTTCCAAGCCCAAGTGTTCCAGCTTCTTCTCTGGTGCCCTTTACATCATCAGATTGGGCTGAATCTGGCATCTGGATTTCAGAAACTTGCCACTTGGGAGAACGCAATGCCTGGAAGGAGGGCTGGGTTTAAAGCTCTCCCCAGCCTGAGAAAGCAGAATAAGGAGCGTGGAGGACGGGACAGCAAGTTAAGCAGCCTGGGCCTGGCGCTACATCAGTATCCCAACTGAGTATCCCAGCTGAGGCCTTACACCCTAGGATGGCCACGTGTGGGGGCTGGAAGCCAGGGCCACAATCTGAGGACATCAGTAGCTGGAGGGCAGCAAACCCCAAAGGGACCTGAGAACCCCTAGGTCGCAACCTGACGGCCTATGAAGGCAGAAGGGGGTAGAAAGCTAAGTTCCCAGGCCCACATTGAAGAAAACATGCTGGACAGGAATAGAAGACAGTGGGGGAAGATCTCTCTCTGAGTTAGGCTCTTGAGAAACTTCCAGACTGCTGAAGCATGCTGCCATTAATGCCATCCGAGAGTCTATAGAAACTGCTACTGTTGTGGCACCCAGTGCCTAACCCTATCTGGGGCCACTGAGAAAAAGAAAGCTTCATAGTGCTAGGGTTTTGAAGTATGAGCAGGAGTTTGCCAGATGGAGGAAATGGACCAAAGCATTCTATGCAGAGGGTATAGCATGAGCAAAATACTGAGTATTTATTAAAGGTTCTGGCAGATCTGAGAAACTCGGATTAGTTTGCCAGAAAAAATATTTCATAGCTCTGACAGGAGTGATGGGATTCCCTTAAAAACCATTGTGTTGCAGATCCAGCTGGTAGATTTAATTGCCCCATCTTTATTCTTTGAACTTAATGGTCTGAGATTAAAAAGGAAGCAGCATCTGCCAGGGACCCAGAGGTTCCCTGATCTGAAGTCTGCAGTGAATACGCATTCTCAGGATGAAGCATCCTTTGTCTTGCTTGTGTGGATTTGAGGTATGAGTGCGTGCCCACAGTGCACGTTCACACAGAAGGTATGCTGGAGGGCTGCTATTGTGATGAGAGCACATTCCATTTGGGCCTTTCTTGGCATTACTGGCCTTAACCTTTCACTTGAGTCTTGTCTCCACCAGTGCTGAAGAGTCCTTGAGAGGAAGGGGGATTCCAGCAGCCTGCTTCTTCTGTCTGTTCCTCTTCCCTCCATCTCCTCCATCTGCTCCACCCAGTGTCGTAGAAATACAAGCAGCAGTCCTCTCTGTTGTCAGGGAGAGGGCGGGGGTGCGGTGTCTCTGCCCCAGAGGACAGTGGAGGAGAGACTGGATTTAGGGTCTGGGGCTGGTTGAGACTCCTAAAGCCACAGCACCACCCTGGTCCCTTGGGCCAGAGCTAGAAGGACAGCAGAGAGAGGGTTGGGACCAGATTTTCTTGCCTTCATTCAACGGACGATCCACCAAGGCATTATCAGCGCTAGTTTAACCCTTATGACTCCAACCCTGATGATCCAGGCTCTGTGTAGAGCGGTTTTCAAAGCAGCATAGTCCAAACAACTGAGAACGATGATGTTTCCGTCTTTAACTGGCATCTCTCAAAAAGCATTCAAGATTAAATTATCACCTCCCTGGTAACACTTCTCAAATCCCATGTTGCTTCCTTCTTAATTCTCTTGTACCCTGCACGACTCCAAGGATTTTCATCCTCAAACTCTCCAAAAAACATTCTTTCCATTGTCGCTTTTGCAACCCTTTTTCCTCCTCTTTCCATATCTTTTCTTCCCCCATCCCCAACTCTTTTATCATGTAGCTCAATTTAGCAATAGAAGCCCTACAACCTGCGCAGCCTGTGGCTTGCCGGGGGCCAGAATCCCAACACAGACCTGCCAATCAGACTGGATTTTCTGGCCAGTGGAAGAGGTGGGGCGTAAGGGTAGGGTGGCGAGAAGGCAAGCCAGTGACGACAGCACCCACTGTCCCTTTGGTATCCTCTTTTGGAAGGTGAGTCTGGGTTCGTGCACGGGGTGTTGGTGTTAACAGAGTGGAAGGAGGGGACATTGACCCATCAATCAAGTCCCCCACTCCAGGTCTGTCATGCCAGCTTCCCTCCCCAGGTGACACACACCACAAACACCTATGCCTTCTGTGTTCCTGAGGCTTTCTCTTTGGGGCTGGTCCCTCCCCAGTCCAGTCCCGATCCCCGTACTGCATGAACCACTCACCCACTGCAAAGCAGAGGCACTTAGGACCCAGGTCTGTTCTGGGCCAGGAACTGTTAGTCTGGAGTTCATGTGCCAGGGAGGAGGCTGGCCTGACCAGACACAGGTCGTGCAGGGCAAAAACAGGCCCTGGCTTGGGTGTCAGAAGAACTGGTTTTCCATCTATCTCAATAACTTAGTTTTTATTTTTGAACCTCATTCTATCAGGAGGGCTGAAGCTTGATCCCAAGTGAAATCAGGGTGCCTCTTCCATCTTCCTGGGGATTCGTTCATCTTCTCCAGGGCACAGGAACATGGAGGGAAGTGTCTTTAGTTGGTGATGTCATCTATTTGCGGATACCTCTGGGGCACTGCCTGCCTGCTTCCCTCATGCCCCTTTTGGGTAGATGGAAGTCACTGTTCTGCTGGGACGAGAATCCCAATCTGTTGGACATACCACCCAGCCATTCTTTCTGCCCTGGGGCCTGCCACCTCCCCAGCTCTACCTGAGCAGAAGGACACTAGCCACTCTCTGCTGCTCTTTAATCCCTGTGCCTTAGCCTCAGCCAGGGAGGAGGGCCACGGGCCCCTCTGCTCAGTACTTCCTAATGTCTACCCCCTCCTCACTTTCCCTCGGACTTTTCTCTCCAGCCCACAAACTGGTAACCTCTTTCTTGTCTGGATGATGAAGAAGCCTTTCACATTTCCTTCTTTGTTTGTCTATGCCAAAAATCTTTCTCTTCCCCAAGGAGTCAGATTTTTAAACCTCAAAAGCCAAGTAGCTTAGAAGAACCTAGCTGCCTGAATGTGGAAAAAAGCCAAGGAGGAGAGGAAATGCCAGGAGAAAAAAATGAAATGGTATTTCAAAATAGTATCCTATTACACGTGTTATCTTGTTTCCTGTGCATTTACTAACAGAGGCATATTTAGAAGGGTCGTACATGCTTGTGGGATGGATCAACATTTCTTTACCATAAAAGTCCAATGCTAGGCAAAGCCTTAAGTCATTCATCATAACCTTCAACTAAGACACAAGTAGCTGGTAACACATTTTGGCATCTAGGCAGTATGTCCGTGTTTGTCGGTCATTTACACCAGCTTTTATTTTCTTCAAAAAGCACACAGGAGTGCCTGCTTATCTGCAGAGGCTAAGGCCCCATGGCCTGGGGTCCCTGGTGTGGTTGGTTCTGGCTGGGGCAGTGTTGAGAAGTGAGGGTCGGGGGTGAGGCAGGCTGGAGCCCATTTCAGTCAGGTCTCGAATGCCATCTCGTGGAGGGTAGGATTCACCCTGAGGACAGGAGAGAGCAGTGGAGGGAGTCTCAGTAGGTGGTTAATACGGACTCACTTGTTTCTGAGGAATGGATGCAGAACCAGTTGACACGAGGAACCACGGATTTAGACTTTGCAGAGGCCATTTTCCAGCATCTCCAAATCAGAGTAGGAAAGCAAGGCGGTCGCCAAGACTCTTGGAGGTTCTGGTTGTAAAAGCCCTTTGGAAACGGTCCAGGACCCCACAATTGTAAAGAGGTCGGCATCAGATCAGTTTGGAGACAGAAAAGGCGCCTGCAATGTTCTTGATCGAGTTGTAATGAAACTTCCCCAGAGACTGTACTTCCTTCGTTCTGGCAGGATGTCACCAACTACTTAAGGAAGCGCTCTTAAACTAGAAAAGATACATGTATTTACTGTCTGGAGTGAATGGTCCCTCCTGGCAACCCACACTGACCCTGTCAGTGGCCCCCTCTTCCAGCCTCAGGGCTTTCCCTCTTCACCACCCTCACCCTCACCAGTACGAGCTGCCGGGCCTCTGCTGGTGCATGGCACTCTTTAGGGCTGGGGTGGGGAACCCAGTACCCCGAGCGATGTGGCATTTTCTCACAATGCTTGATACCTTCCAGCTAAAGCAACAGGGTACCTCAGCAGCGACCCGAGGTGTCATGGCCTGGGCCAGGGGGTTGGGGGGCGGGGGGGTGCATAGCCAGTATGTTTTCTGAACACAGATAACAAAAAGCCCTGGCAGATTAAATCCGAAAGTCCGTGTTCCTCCTTGCTGAGGTATGTCTTTTCCCGGAGCACTCTGTTGGACATCTGCTGACCAATACACCCTGATGAGGGGACCCTTATTTAGCAGAGTGCAGGAGGCCACCAGGCGTGGAAGGCCAGCACGCTCAAGGAGTGTGGCCACTCCTCATATCGCCCCCATGGCCGGCATCACTCATTCATCACGGCTCTCTTTCTGGCATGGCCTGGGCAAGGCTTCAGGAAGCTGCTACCAGGCCCGCGCAGTCAGCCCAGGAGATGGCCCCTGCCTGCCAGCCCCGGGAGTGGGGTTTCCACGGGTTGTTCTGCTCAGATAGTGAAGAAGACAGATGAGAGCCAGAGAGGAGGAGAGAAGGTGGGGAGAGGAGGGGGGAAGGGGGGCCTAAAAGCCAGCTGCCCAGAGGCTAGAAGCAGGCTCGGGCGAGGCTGGCTCCAGAGCAGTCTGGAGTTGACAGATCCTTCTTGCACTGTGCTATCTTTCTCTCTTCCCCTCCCTTCTCTCCTCTGCCTCCTTCCCCTCTCTCCTCTGCCTCCTTCCCTTCTCTCCTCTCCTCGTGAGCAGGCAGAGCCCGCCAGCGCCCCCCACTGTGCCCACTCTCGCTGTTCTCCTCCACTCTCTCCCCCCATGAAGGAAGAGACCACTGGAGTTTGCATGCACCCTCCAATCAAAACGAGGCTGGTAGGTACCCTGGCAGGGAGAGGGGCCTGGCCAGGAGAGGTGAGGCGGGCAGGAGCCACCAAGTGGTCACCCCGCTGGTGCGCATGAGCACTAGACCTTCTGGAAGGGCTTGGCTGACAGGTGCTCTGACTCCAGGATGGATACATAGTTTGGCCAAATGAGGACACACAGTCTGCTGTCCTGCCCTGTGTCTCTAGGTCTCAGGAAGCGGGAAGAGTTTGTTTTCCTAAAGCTTTGATAAGCATAGATGCTTTTACAAGAAAGTAAAAAAAAAAAAAATCTTAGTTGCATTTCTATTGAAAATAACAACTGTTTGCACTTGTCTTTTCCTGCTATGTTTCAAGATAACAGGATGTGTGTTGCATAACAGCGTGAAAAGATATCACCCATAAGCCCAACCTAGCACAGTATTTTTTCATTTTTGCATGTTTCCTTCTAACTTATTTGTATTCATTCATAATTTTACGAAGTGAAATCATAGTATCCATATCGTCTCCTGTTTTTCCCTTTTCACTGAGTGTTGGATTGTTTCTCTCTTGTTCTTGTGACCGCATTGCATATGACTGTTTACCTCCCATCCAGTGCGTGGTCTCCCATTTACCTAACACATTCTTCCGGCAGGACGCGTGCTTGGTTCCCAGTGTGTCACTATTCGAGGGGACACAGTTAGCTTTGGTGGCAGGTATTTTATTTTCTTAGGCTAGATCCTGCTGGGTTCAATATTGTGAGTTTCGCTTTGCTCCCTCTCTAAAGTGGTTATACCAGGGGACAGCAACAGCGGAAGAGTGAATATGCTTTGCCACAGCCGAGCAGCACAGAGTCTAACTGTTGGGAGAGACTTTTGTCTTATTTAGAGAAGATACAGGATCATTCGTGGAAGCTGCCACTGTTCACATTTCTTTAATAGCAATAATAAACCTCTTTTCCCTTTTACTTCACGGTGGTCTGAGAGTCTTATCTGAATGTGACTTTTCACTTTGCTCTTGGTGTCGGCACCCATGCTGAACCACCAGGCCATGGGAGGAGAAGACACCGTGGGCTTCCCCTGGGTCCTCTCGCTCTGTGGCAGGCCCTGCTCCCAGCGCTCAGCCATCTGAGCTGGCACCTGAGTCTTTAGGCAGTTGGGGGCCCATTCTGGGAATTCTGAGATGTTTAAAGAGGCCAAAGAGAGTTTGGGGAAGGGGAGCAGGCGTGGACTGGGCATCTCCGTGCACATTGCTGAGACACGGTCATTCTCAGATTGGTTGAGAACTACTCCATCCATTCAGAAAAGCCTCAGCGGATCTGGGTCTGTTCTGATGTGCTCTTGCTCACCCCTACTTTAACCCCCATGGGAGTGACTCAAGAGCATCAAATAACTACCCCAGGGTCCACAGACAAGCCCCTGGGAGAGACAGGAGCCGCGACCCCGGGCAGCGGTGGCCTCCGTATCCAGGCTGCCGCCCTCTGGTGGCAGAGCATGCATTCCTCGGCAGGCCGGCGGGCAGTTTCCGCGCCCTGGCGGGGGCGGGGGCTAGGGAGGAGGCAGGCAAAACCAGTACCAGAGTCCTTAGGCCCCTGGGCCTGCTGGCAGTCCTCCAGGCTGGTATAAAGACATAAGCGTACTCCACATTCCCCAAGGCCTCCGGGGGCCAAAGACAAAATGACCAAAGAGAAAGGAATGCAAGCAGAGGCTCCTTTCGGCAACCCCCCCAAGATCTGATCAGGCCATTCACCCCCCGCCCTGCTTCAGACCGGCCCTGTACCGCAGCCACCCCCAGCACTGGGCACTTCTGATCACAGTGCCTTGTATCCCCAAGGCCACGGTGGCAGGATTCTCACATGCTTACAGGGGCTTGCCCAAGGTTTACCTCCGTGGCCCACAACTTACAGGGAGTCCAACAACTAAAGGGTATAGACAGGAAACGCTTTCTGGCCGAATTAGTGCGAGCTTCCTGGTACTCTGTCCACCGTCATAGACTGTGTCCCAGGATGTGGGCTGTCAGCAGCATCTAGTCCATGCCCCCCAGCCGTGGGGAAGCCAGCAGTGGCCACCCAGGCAGCTCTGGCCTGCCTCATTACACACCCTGATCATGGCCTTGTGTGGATCAGGCCATGCATAGGGCCCAGCATGCCTAGGAGGCCCACACAGCCTCCGGGGAAAGGAGTTCCAGGGCCAGGTAAGCATGGGGTGCCCTACAAACACGGGACTGCCGCTGGTCATCCCTGCAGGGTCCCGGCCCTACGGCACGAGGATTGGCACAGGTATGACAGCTGGCCAAGAGGCCTCAGGGACCTTCTGCACGTATCCCTATACAGACAGTGAGGGCTCTGCGCCTGTTCCCCTGAACCCTTCAGTTCGGTTTTTAGAAGTGCACTGCCAAAGATCTCAAACGTTTGTTTTCTATTCTGAAAGTAACCCTCTTGTCTTTCTCTTTTTTGAAGATAAAAACATTCCCGGTTGATCCAGTGACCCCATTTCCTGATGCTTTCAATTCAGGGCCACAGTTCACCGTAAGTAGATTCAGAAAACAGGTCTGTATTTTAAAATGTTGTTCCCACGGGGCGCCTGGGTGGCTCAGTCATTAGGCATCTGCCTTCGGCTCAGGTCATGATCCCAGGGTCCTGGGATCGAGTCCTGCATCGGGCTCCCGGCTCAGCAGAGAGCCTGCTTCTCCCTCTCCCTCTTCTCTCCCACACCCGCTTATGTGCGCACTCTCTCTCTCTCAAATAAATAAAGAAAATCTTTTAAAAAAGATTTACTTATTTTGAGAGACAGTGAGAGCTAGAGGTGGAGGGAGAGGCAGAATCTCAAGCAGACTCTCCCCTGAACTTGGTGCCCGACACAGAGCTCGACCCCAGGACCCTGGGATCATGACCTAAGTCGACATCAGGAGTCAGACGCTCATCTGACTGAGCCACGCCGGTGCCTCAGCAGCTTTTTTTAATCACATGAACTGTGTGAGGTTGGGAAGGAGTTAGGGTTTGGGGCCTGCATCTTTTCGTGACTTTATTTTATTGAGGTGAGCATCACGAGAGATAAAATGAATCGTTCTAAAGTGACAGTACATGTAGAGTCACGCAACTACGACCTGTAGGTCCAAAACATTTTTATCACCCACAGAGGAAAGCTCGTTCCCATTAGGCACTCACTCCCTATCCCCCCCCACCCCGCTCCAGCCCCTGGCACCCACAAATCTGCCTTCTGTCTCTGTGGATTTCCCTAGTGTGGAGATTTCAGATAAGTGGAATCATAGAATATATGACCTTTTGTGCCTGGCTTCTTTCACTGAGTATCATGTTTTTGAGGCTCTTGTACATGGTAGGATATATCAGGACTTCATTCTTTTTATGTGGAATAATATTGAATTGCATATGTATACCCCAGTTTGTTGATTTGTTCGTTCACTGGTGGGTCTTTGGGTGGGCCTTTGGCTGTTGATTCGTTCGTTCACTGGTGGGTCTTTGGGTGGGTCTTTGGCTATTGCCAATAATGCTGCCGTGAACGTGTGTGTACATGTATTTGTTTGAGTTCCTGTCTCCAGTTCTTTGGGGTTGGATGTATATCTTGATGATGGTGTGACCTTAGGTAGTCACTTCGCCAGTCCTGGCACCAGTCTCCTCTTATTTGAGTGGAAATAGTAACATGAATATCCTCCTTGTATCCGGTTAAGGCAAGGATCAAAAGGGATCAAGAAGTTGGCAGAACTTGGGGCACCTGGGTGGCTCAGTCGTTAAGTGTCTGCCTTCAGCTCAGGTCACGATCCCAGGGTCCTGGGATCGAGCCCCACATTGGGCTCCCTGCTCGGCGGGGAGTCTGCTTCTCCCTCTCCCACTCCCCCTGCTTGCCGCTCTTGGCTCTTGGCTCTGACTGATCTGTGTCTCTCTCTGTCAAATAAATAAATAAAAATCTTTAAAAAAAAAAAAAAGGTGGCAAAACTTGACCAACCACAGAATGTCCCAGAAGTGTCAAGTATGGTGGTGGTTTCTCAAGGCTAGAGAGGCAGGGGGGTGTAATTAATGAGAGCAGGGAGTCATGACAACTCGCTTCATGTCCCCACCTCCCTTTGTGTACCGGGCAGCCGACTGAAGCTCTGCAAAATGTCTAAATATTAAACATTTAAATGCTGTTGTTTCCTCATCTGCAAAATGGGCGAGTTCGATGATGTTCAGGCTTCTTGCAGCTGCAAGTCTTTCCTTTCAGTGAAGGCTTCTGCATAACTCACTGTTTGAGTGGCCGCAGGGAGCGGAAATGTGAAGTCTGGGGTCACCTCCTCTTTCCCCTCACCCTGTCCTCCTCCTAGGGATCAGAGTTTGTAATTCCTAGAACTGAGTGATCCCCGAGGCTCCTTCCAGAGGCTTCCTGACCAGTCTGGAGGATCTGTGAGGTGGGCTGTGGGGGACCTAGGGGTAACCAAAAGTGCGATCTTGTGAGCTGGATGATGGTCACTACCTGAGGCGGCTTTAGCCGCACGGACAGAGAGGGAGCGAGCAGTGGCTGGGGCAGCTTTCAGAGGTTGAACAGAGGTAGGAAGGTGTCCCACCAGCAGTCCAGGCAGAGGCACAAAGCAGGTTCCTAGGATAATGCATTTCTAAGGTCATGAGCTGCTTCTAGCACCTGCCTTGGAAGAGACCTAGAAGGTAGAGACACAGGGGCTGGGCCAGGCTGTTAAATGCTACTCCCCTGCGTTCATCCTGCCCCTGCAATTTCCCTCGGCACGGCTCCCCAGCTGGAAGCTCTGGTTCCACTTCCCTCAGCTAGCCCGTGGCAGGCCCTCTGGCCTCCTGCCCAGCCTTGGCTGTGCTGTGAGACACCCAGGGAAGCCCTTCCTGAAAAGCTGGGGGCCAAGATGGAGCAGGAAGCCAATGTCAGAAACCACACTGGGATCTTTAAGAACTGGGCAAGAGTGGCTCGAGGGCAGCAATTTTACCAAGTTTCAAGATAATACGGACCTGGGGACCATACTTCGGGAAGCACTGAGATAGTGGTGAAAAATGCCAAGTATGGCGTCAGCTAATCCTGGTCCTAAATACTGGTTCTTAACACCTACTGTGTGACCTTGGCAAAATTACTTAACCTCTCTGAGCCCTACTTTTCTTTTTCATAAAATCAGCTCTAAGATACGCATTTTTTTTCACCTTTTCAATCTCTGAAATCAGGGGCGTCTGGGTGGCTCAGTCGGTTAAGCATCTGCCTTCGGCTCAGGTCATGATCCCAGGGTCCTGGGATCGAGCTGAACATCAGGCTCCTTGCTCAGCGGGGAGCCTGCTTCTCTCTCTCCCTCTGCCTGCCACTTTGCCTACTTGTGCTCACTCTCTCTCTCTGTCAAATAAATAAATAAAATCTTTTTAAAAAATTAAAAAAATAATAAATCTCTGCAGTCAGAACATTCATTACATGAGTGGGTGTGACAAAGTTTGAACGGCCACATTTTTCTTTGTGGCACATGCAAAAACGGTGGATCTTACAATGGATGGTGTCGAACATGATGAAATATGACTTCTACCTTAAGGATTGTCAAGAGGTAATATATGTCAAGTGCTTAGCATAGTGCCTGGCACAAAATAAAATCATTTAATAAGTGGTAATTGATTTTAGCTATTATTAAAAAATAACAGGAACTGTATGGTAAGGCTTAAGGAGTCCCTGACAGTGTGAAAATGGAACCCAAATTGAGATTGATTTCCTCTTTTCTGTTTCCTCTCCAGGCGGACTTTAGAGACAGTAAATTGCCGTGCTGTCCTGGCCAGTCTTCCCCACTGATTCCAGCAGTGACCCTGCGGCCTTTGACAGAGACCATCTCCACAGTGCAGACCATCTACACCACTCGGAAACCTGTTTCTCTGGCAGCCAGGTGAGTGAGGTCAGCAGGTCCTGGCAGGGAACTCCGGTGAAGGGAAAACTGTGTCTGTGACATCTGTATGCTTCTTATTTATTCTTTCATTCATTTTTTTCTGTACATATTTACTGAAGTGTCTACAAAGCCTGGAGAGTATTCTAGGCCCTAGGGATGCACAGTAAATAAAACAGAAATCCTTTATGGAGTTTACAATTTAGTGTTGGGGGAGAGGAGACAGACGTTAAATAACTGTGTGTGTGTGTGTGTGTGTGTGTGTGTGTGTGAAAGAGAAGGGAGAGAGAATGAGGGAGAGAGAGAGAGAGATGGTGACAAGCTAGGGAACAAAATGAAACCAAGAAGGGCATAGGGCAGGCTGGGATGGCCTCATTGAGGTGGCTTGTAAGCAGAGACCTGAGGTGGGGAGGGAGCAGGCTGCAGGTATTTGGGGAAAGAGTATACTCAGGAACAGCCAGGGCTAAGACCTCTGAGATGGAGCATGCTGGGAGTGGTTAAGGAGGGGTAAGGGGGCTAGTGTAGCCAGAGTGGGATGAATGACAGGGCAAGAGCCCCATGAAGTCCGAGGTTGGGGCCAGATTTTACTTACTGGTCACAGTAGAAACTGATTTCTATCCTGTATGAGATTATTTAAAAACTTGAATTGTGCTTTAGATGTATACTTCTGTGTGTGTGTGTGTGTGTGTGTGCACGCCCATGTGCACGTGTGTGTGCATGTGAGTGCATGCACATGCATGTCCATAAACAATGGAGACAGATCCCATAGTTAGGCAACGGGGCCTGAGGGCCAAGAAGTCAGAGGCAACCCCTCAAAGCAGCCGATTTTATTTCATGCAATTTGTTTATTAAAATGTGGGGGAGGGGCGCCTGGGTGGCTCAGTTGGTTAAGCGACTGCCTTCGGCTCAGGTCATGATCCTGGAGTCCCGGGATCGAGTCCCACATCAGGCTCCCTGCTCGGCGGGGAGTCTGCTTCTCCCTCTGACCCTCTTCCCTCTCGTGCTCTCTGTCTCTCATTCTCTCCCTCTCAAATAAATAAATAAAAATCTTAAAAATAAATAAATAAATAAATAAATAAATAAATAAAATGTGGGGGAGGAGCTCCTGGGTGGCTCAGTCTGTTAAGCAGTTAAGCGTCTGCCTTTGGCTCAGGTCGTGATCCAGGGTCCTGGGATTGAGCCCTGCATTGGGCTCCCTGCTCAGGTGGGAGTCTGCTTCTCCCTCTCCCTCTGCTGCCCCCCGCCCCCCTGCTTGTGCTCTCTCTCTCTCAAATAAATAAGTAAAATCTTTTTAAAAAATAAAACAAAATATGGGGAAGAGAGGACTCTGGGAGAAAGTGCATTTGAAACCAATTTAAAGCATGATTGAAAGAAATCTAACCCCTGGACATCTTCCTGCTCATTCAGAAGACCTTTACTGAGACATAGCTATGTACCAGTCCCTATGCTTGGCCCTGGGGCTTCAGAGATGAATGACATATATGGTCAGTTCTCTGGGGAGCAGTGCCCTGAGGAACTCTCAGTCTGGTGGGGGGACCCAGTAGGTAGCCAATTTCAGGTCATTGTAACGCTAGCAAGTGTCGGGGGTCCTTAAGGAGCCTGAAAGGGAAAGTTGAGAACCAAGGTCAGAAAAGAAGACCTGGGGTGGCGGGTGGGGGGAATGATACCGTTCTTGTCATTTTTTTAGTGGAATCTCATTATTTTGTCACCTACTTTTCTTCAGTGCAGAGACGCTCCGGCAGGAACTGGAGAGAGAAAAAATGATGAAAAGACTGTTGATGACCGAACTGTGAAATTCTCCCTTTGTTGCCTGGAGGACGGCATGGTGCCTTCTGTCCGTTTTCTTTCTTCGGGCTTTGTGTGCTCACTCCAGCACAACACACAGATGTGTGCTCTGTTCACCCAGGTCTCCGTGGTTGGTTGAAGCCAACTTCTGGCTTGACTTTTATGGGAGAAGTTATTTTCTGTCTCCTGAGTATTAGAGTTTTTCTGCTACTCAGTATAGTTGGGATGGGATTTGGGAAGCCTAGGAGAAGAAAGATGGGGAAATGGGATTCCCTTTTTAGTACTACCTGTGTGTCTATATTAATAACCACAGGGGTTAATATGGCACGGAATCCTTTGCTATCAGTCTCAACCATGATTTTGTATGATTGAAACTTGCACCAAGCTTCAACTGTTTGTTAAAGAGTCATTTTTAATGAGAGAATAATTCTTTACTGCTGGTTTTTTCATTGACACTGGTAATTATACAGATCTTATAAAGTCCTTAACACTCATTTTTATTCAGACATGAATCGATGAAGTAACACAAGAAAGTTGCGATCACCAGGATTACTAAGTACTTTGGCGAAATCTGAAATACAATTTAAATTGTGGATTCATTGGATATGATATTATTTGGGATAAACAGAATTTTTCACTGAACCCAAAGTAGGAAATTATAGCTTAAATTGTCTAAAAATCCTTACGAGGATAAAATGATTCAATATCAAGATTCATTTGGGTGTTCCATAAAGGAAAATTATTTCTAAAGTTAATTAATTCTTGTCCTGTTGATAGAACCTTGACCAGATGACACTTTGTTCTCTTTTTATATAGTTTCAAGAAATGTGTTTTTAAATTTTTATTATGCACTTAAACAACTTTGCAGGAATAAAGGCACGCCCTCAGCACAGACTAGCCCTCTGAACCGTTACCCGAACTCTCAGTGAATATGCACACATTTTTTCATAGCTGTGACCAGTGTGTATATACTCTTTGGTTGTACTTCTCCACCTCACCCATATCTTCCCTTTCCAGTACAGATTCTGCTCTCACCAATTTAAATGTCTGTATATCCATGTAACATGGTTAACCTCACTTCTCCCTATTATTAGGTATTTGAGTTATATCCAATTTTTCACTCTTATAAATAGTGCTGCTATGAATGTCTTTGTAAAAAAAGTTCTCCTTCCTTTGGATTCTTCCCTTGGGAATATCTCCAAAGAGGGATTACAAGGTCAAAGAGCATGAAATATTTTATAGCTCTTGTTTCATATTGCCAGATTGCTTTCTAGAAAGATCCAGTCTCTGGGTTGGAAGGACCTTACAGGTTATTAGTTCAATTCCCCTATTCCCTCTGAATGCTTGAATCCCTCTACAATTTATGATGCCACCAGCAATGTATAAGCATTTCTACTTACCAGTAGTTCTGCCAGTATTGGGTTTTGCCATTTTAATTTATTTTTGCTAGTTTAATAGGTGTGTATAGTTGTTCTTGAAAGGTTGTTTTATTTCATTAATTGCTAGCAAGGCTGAGCACTTTTCCATGTGATGATTTACTAGCTGTATTTCCTTGTACGTAGAATGTCCATCCATTTCTTATGACCACTTGTTAAGTGGAATTGATCTCGTATATTTGTAACAGAACTGTATTTTTATGTTGTATTGTATAGTTTGCTCTCCTGTCCCTATCCTTAAAACTGAATGGTGCCAATAATTTGATACTAATGATTATAAAAAAAAATGTAATGCCTCTCATTTACTGGCATTGTTGTAAAATGAGGTATGTAAGCAAATATTCAGATAACGGAGGATTAACCCTTTAAGTGCTGAATCTTTAAAATTTTAATATTTTTTGAGGGAAATCTTTCTAAAATGCGTTATGCACTTCCCTGCCTTAGTAAACAGTATACTGGAGAGTATTTAACCTTTTCTTGATGAGTCATGGTCATCATTAAAAACATCAGCCCCTTTTGTTACCTTAGTGTGGTGCGGTGATGTCATCAGGAGCTATCAAAATACATAGGGCTTGGCTTTGCCTTTCACAGACTATTGTGCTGTTCTCACCAATGAATTTTACTGCTTTCTGCTCTATTGGTGAAGCCATCTGGGGCATTTGTGGTGTTTGGGACTTTTTACTCCCATACTATATGGCCCCTGGCTATACTTTTAAAATAGTTTTACCTGTTCTTTATCTCGTGCACATGATCCAAAATGTGTTCCTGTACAAGATGGGGGAGCTCTCTGTGTCTGGGGTTGTAACCTCTTGCCAATCCAGCCCCCTCCTCCTAACCTGCTTTCTGAGTCTTTTGCTCTTCACCTCCTGCTCTCTGATGGAAACCTCCAGGGCAGAATGGAAGTTTTCTTGGAGAAGCCAGGGAACCAAGTATGACCTATGTGTCAGGTAATGCTTTGCTCCTGAGGAGGGGTGCATGGGCTTTTGGGACGCTGTTTTCAGGAGGCTCCAAGCCTCCTGCTTTTTTCCCCACATCCCCCTGGGTTCAGAGATGTTCAGAAGTTGATGTCACTGGAAGTCTGATCCCAATAAGTTGGCTGTTACTGTATATGAAAACCCAGTACCTTTGGCAGCTCAGCTCTGACCAGTAAAATCAAGAGGATTCCATTGTTTCAGCAGTTGTCCTGGTTATTTGCCTCCTTAAATGTATGACGGGTGCCTGACATGGTGAGCTGAGGAGATGACTTCGTGTTGGGTGGATTCATAGGGACAAAAATAAATCGGTAGAATTGGTTTACCTTTTTCATATACTTAACACAGAACAACAGCACTGTACGGTCACACAACACATACCTTATGTCTGGGGCAGAGTTGGGGGGGGGGTCCGCTTATTGACATAATTGTGCCAGAACAAGGGCTCTGAACTGTGGACCACAGACTCCTGGTGGGCATGAGGGGCGTATTACAGGGGGCCTGGGAGTCCCGCAATTCACAGAGTTTGTGGATTGCAGACTGCCCAGAACATCCTTATGTTTGAAGAATTTAGAAACTAGATCCTAGAGCATTCAGAAGATCCCATCTGAATGCACCCCAAATTTTGTATTCCCAAGCTATCACAGGAATATTGAGATCTTTATCTTTCTTTCACCACCTCAGTTTTTTTCAAAACTTGAAATTCACCATTTCAGCCATTTTAAAGTGTGCAGTTTGGTAGGGTTTTTTTGTATGTTCCCACTGGTATGCAAACATTACCACTCTCTAATTCCAGAACATCTCCATCGTTAGAAAAAGAAACTCCCTATCTACAGTCACTACAACTTCTCCCCTCTCCCTGCCTCCTAGCAACCACTGATTTACTTTCTGTCTCTGGATTTCTGTCTATGGATTTGCCTATTCTAGACATTTCATATAAATGGAATCATACAACATGTGGTCCGTGGTGACTGGCTTATTTCACTTACCACAGTGTTTTCAAGGCTCCTCCATGTTGTAGCATGTATCAATACTTCATTCCTTTAACGGGTGAATAATACACACCAATGTATGGCTATACTACATTTTGTTTATCTGTTCATCAGTTGATAGACATTTGGGTTACTTTCACTTTTTGGCTATTATGAATAATATAAATATTCATGTACAAGTTTCTGTATGAATATGTTTTCAACTCTCTTGGGTATATAACAGATTGGAATATAGCGGGGTCATATGGCAACCAAAAGTAAAAAAAAAAAAAGAAAGAAAGAAATCACATATACCAGGCAGTCAGAAGAATGGGTATGTCTGTTACTGGTTAGATACTGTAATATAGCACTGATTTGGGGGAGTTTTTAATAACAGAAAAAAAGTTATCTTAGAAAAATGGTTTTGATGAGAAGAGAGAATAAAAGTGCTGTCTTTCTTTAAAAAATGAAAATGAAATTAAACTCAGGTGCATCTCCAGGTTCTTGTTTGAATAGCCGGCTCTTGTTCAGCCAGCAGTCTCTGAATGTTCAGGAAAAGTGCTTCCCCAGAAAATGTGCACTATGGAGAAAACCACAGTATTGATTGGCTGCTCAGTGAATTCACATCACTGTGGAGCAGAGGGTCTCTGCAAAACCTGGGATATAACAGAGGGGAATATGTGCTGAGAGTGGGAACAGGTCTCCCTCCAGGGCTCAACTCTTACAAGAAAACAAAAAGAGGGGCACCTGGCTGGCTTAGTTGGTGGAGCATGCGACTCTTGATCTTGGGATTGTGAGTTCAAGCCCCATGTTGGATGTAGAGATTACTTTAAAAAAAATCTAAAAAGAAAAAAGCACAAGATAAAATCCCAAAAGGTAAGTTAAGTGAATGTGAGAGAACCTCGTGAAAGGAAGAGCCAAGTCAGCAGGGACTTGAGAAGCAGAGTAGTTTCCAAGCCCTCACGAGGCATGCAGACTGAGTTGAGTGACTGATGACAGCTATGGGGACTCTCCCTAGAAAAAAACCCATTCATCACATGTTCCAGCACTTTTATAAGGTCCTCACACCACCCCTGAAGCCCATCTATGGTCCCCTTTGAGTCCATGAACCCCAGGTTCTGAATAGTTGAAATCTACAGGTTACCTGCAAGCCTCATTTTAGGCTGTGGTTGCAAACCCACCTCCAACACCACCCCCCAACATCCCTTACAAAAAAAAAAAAAAAAGCCCACATGGTTTTATCAGGCCAATTTACTGCAAGAATGATCTGGTTTCCACTGGCCTTCTATCTGGCACCATCACTCTTAATTGTTGTAATTAAATTGAAGGGAATAAAATAAGAAAGTGAAAGATAACAGCTTAGATTCTAAAACCAGAGACTCCGTATTGAAATCAGAAGCCTAATGCTTGCTTTATTGATTGATTGATTTTTGCTAAATGTTGGTCCATTTATAACTTACCATATCTTTCCTGGTGAACAGGAACAAAAAGAAAAGAAAGGAACGGCAATTTTTAAGAATGAGTTTTTCTTTTTTCTTTTTAAAGAATTACATATTAGATTTTTTTTAAAGATTTTATTTTTTTATTTGAGAGGGAGCGAATGAGAGACAGAGAGCACGAGAGGGAAGAG